TTCCTTCCTTCCTTCCTTCCTTCCTTCCTTCCTTCCTTCTTTCCTTCTCTCACTCTTTTGTTCTTTTCTTTCAGTCTCTATCCCTTCTTCCCTTTCTCTCCTTTTCTCTCCCTCTTTGTTTTTTCTTTCCCTTTCTCTCTGTTTCTCTGTTCCCTCCCTCCCTCCCTTGCTCCTCCTCTCCCTCTCTCAGTCTCTCTCTCTGACCCTCCCCTGCTTGTGTCCACCACTGGGCCACGCTCCTGTGTGGATCCATCTTTCCTTGAAGAAAATCTCCCAGGTCACGCCCTGCACGACGGCATTTCAGTCAAGGAAGACCACGCATACTGTGGTGGCCGTGTGCGATTAGAACAGACCTGAAAGACCCCTATCCCGGTGTGGTTGTCGCAGCAGCTCAGCTTGAAGCTTTGCTCGCACGTGTTGAGTGACGATGGTGCGGGTGAAGCCACCGTACTGCCTGGCGTGTGAACGTCCAGCACATACGGTCATGCGCAGACGTGATACTTGATGATAAGAAATGACTGTGATACTGGCTTACGGATTTACTGTAACTTTTATCATGATTTTAGAATGTATTCTTTCTACTTACTAAACAAAAGTGAGCTGTGAAACAGCCTTCAGCAGGTCCTTCGGGAGGGATCCGGAAGCAGGCACGGCCATCGTGGGAGGCGACCACACCCCGTGCATAGTTCCGCTGGAAACCTCCCAGCGGGACAGGAACGTGCGGGTGGAAGGCGGTGATGTGATGATGCTGGCCCCGGGGAGGCCCAGGCGAATGTGTGTGTTTGTGTCTTAGCTTTTAACAACAAAGTTTAAAAAGCAAACAAACAAACAGAATCAAATAGGGAAAAGTGAATAGATGAGGCTATAAAGAAAGAAACTATTTTTGTACAGCTGTACACTGTGTGTTTTAAGCGAAGTATTATTACAAAAGAGTCCAACAGGTAAAAAATTAAGAAATGTATAAGGCAACGAAGTAAGCTGAGGGTAGTTATGGAAGAAAGAATAATATTTTTGTATAAATTTAGCATAGTCTAAGTGTGGAGCCTTTATAGGGTCTACAGACATGTACGGGAATGCCTGGGCCCTCACATCCGCTCCTCACTCACTCACTCACCCACCCAGAGCCACTTCCAGTCCCACAAGTTCCATTCATGCTAAGTGCCCTATGCAGGTGCACCATGCTTTAGCTTTTAGATCTTACTTCTGCTGCCTCTCTTCTACGATGAGATGCACAAGCACTCACCATTGTGCGGCAGTGAGTACTCAGTACCGTCACGGGCTGCATAGCTGTGAAACCAGGAGCAATGGGCTTACCCATCGAGCCAGGGCATGGAGGAGGCTGTCCGCCCGGGCGTGTGTGCAGGCACACTGCGTATGAGGTGCGCTCAGTGACGAAATCACCTGATGAGGCATTTCTCCGAACGTATCCCTGTCGTTAAGCAAGGCGTGACTGCATTTGTCTTTGAACAAGCCAGTCATACTGTACTAGGGCTTGTGGGGTTAAAAGTATTCATTTATGAGGTGGGTCCCTGAAAAGTAACACTTAATCTAAATCTATTTTAACTTTTTCATGGTTATTTTCATAAGTGTGAGAAGCAAATGTATCTGTAATGATAAACCTTCACACAATATAAACTTTAAGTCTAAATGGCGTCCTAAGTAAATTTCTCCAAATAGCATCTTCAAAAAATGGAGAAAAA